TGATTCTCAGAAACATATGTTTTACATGTGGCTTTTGGTCTGCCATACCTCTTCCTCTCAGAGTTTCCTCCAGTTTCTACAAGCCTTTTGATGGTTAAAAAAAAAAACGTTACTCGCTGACACGTAATATGAGAAGACGCACACTTCTTAGTAGAGATATCGTGTTACAATGGTAACACGATATCTTCTCTTCTCTGTTGTTTGTTGTCTTTTTGTTAACATTTTTGTAACATCTACTCCGCTGCTGTTTAATGCTGTCCATTTCCTTTTCAAGAGGGTATGAAACCACAATGTGTTAAACACCAGTTTCAGGAAGACAGAGGGGGCTTTACACAATCAAAAACGCTGAAACACGTGTAGGAAAAGCCCAAAATTCTACATCCTCTATTTTTACCCAGCTAATGTACACTGATGTCCTCTTGTCCCCAGATAATAGAGCAATTACTTATTTTAATTAATGAGAAAGATTTCACATTCACCGTAACTCCCCTTAACTTCACTGTCCATCAGGGCCGTGCAGAGACCACTAAAGGGGCAGGTGCTCAAAAAAAAAAAGGGCACATCTTATCGCATTTTAGGACAGAATATTAACAAAGTCACATAGCTTTCAGAGTTTAATGAACAATGATAAATTACAAAATTGTGAGACATACAATCAAAGCTAAGGGAAATCTCTACATAGAACATAGAACTATGCATATGTAAAATATTTTATTAGTAATTTCTTTCTTAAATTATAGTATTACAATATTCAAACCTGCAATTTAGCCAAAGATGTAAATCAGAGCTGGACCACCAGACATATTTTGTCTTTACAGAATTAAACTGTTAAAAATGCATACAAGGGCACAATGCAACCTTTTAGTGTACTGTAATCTATAAAAAAGAATGTCTGCCTGGTTTGCTGTACTGACAGTGGAGATGGAGACGGTCCATTCAGAAAAGCAGAGCTGCTGCATCAAACTTTAACGTGGAACTGCAGAAAAAAAAAGAACAAAACAAACATTTTATTAATGCATGTCACCATGAGAAAAGCCTACTCTGTTTGTGTCTTAGTGTATTTTGTAAGTACCTATATACATTTTCTTCAATCTTTCCTCTTTGTTTTTTCTTGTCAGTTTCTCTTTTGTTTTTTTCCTCATTGTCTCATCTTTTCTGTGTTGAGTGAAGGTCAATGTCTTATTTATTTCAGTCTCTTCCCTTTCTTTTTCCCCCAAACTAAATCCAAGATTATGATCCAAAAACGTATTTTCCGTCATGGTGATTTAACTGTTTAAAAACTAATTTCCAACTTTTAAGCATTTTTGCTATTTTTGTTCTCTTTTGATCACAGCAGCAGTTTTCTGTTAGCCATGTCTTTAAAAATGTTAATAACCTCACTGTGAATGATTGGCACATCCTTCTCGATTGCCAACAAAAGAAGGTCTGACAACCGATCCTCCTTGCATAAGCTGCGCAGTTTTGTTTTCACCAGCTTCATACATTATATCTATCATATATCTATCATGGTAGTTCTGGATGAGTTCTCCTTCAAGATACATTTACCTAACACTAGAATAAATGAAATGTACATCATGCAGCAAAGGAAATTAGAAAATCAGACATATATCCATTATGGAGATGAAAGTCATTAGCTAGCAGCTAGCTCATAGCACAAGAACAACAGCCTAATGTCTGTATGATAAAAATACTGAATCGATAGATAAGAACAGCTTTTCCTCACCTGGCTGTCTCCTCCCGCTCAGTAGTTCTTCAGAGAAAGGCGCGCCGCGTCCTATACTTTCCTCCGTTTAAACCGCTACTCTTTGCTAAAGTAGAGAAATTATACAACGTTCAAAGTTTTCCGTTGTCTGACAAGTAGCAAGCCTACTCCAGTATTTTCACCAAAAATTATGTTTTTTAATTCACAAAAAAACTGTTCTGTAATCATGACAGAACAGTTTTTTGTGAATTAAAAAACATAAATTTCAATGTAAAAGACTAAAAGCACAGAGTAAACAGTGTTTTAGATCAAACAATACTGCATCATCCATGGGACTCATTTGGTTTCACTTACATCTCTATTCAGGTTGACATTGGAGAGGCGGTGCAGACTGAAGACATAGCCATGCGTCCGATCATGGTTGATCTTGCTTAGGGCCAAATGAGCAGCGGCCACAGTGTAATGTGGAATGTTCGCTACCTTTAGCTCCGCAGTTAGCCGCCTTATCTGACTGTGCGAGAGGCAAGTGCGTTGTCACCGGCAAAAGGTCAAAGGTAACAATGTGACCGGAGGGCTTATTGTATTGTTTTTCTTGCCAAAAAAAAGATAATAATAATAATTTCAGTACATGTGTCAAATAAAAAAAAAAAAAAAAAAAAAAAAATAAAAAAAGGGACCAAAAGGGCACATTGGGATCATGGAGCAAAAGGGGCAGGTGCTCAAGCCCCCTTAGCCCCCCCCTCTGCACGTGCCTGCTGTCGATAGAGAAGCTCTCTATCCTGCACTGTCAAATTCAGAGCAGCTTGAGTTTTCTGTTGCGCTCCTCTTGGCTCCACCTCGTTACCACAGATTCCGTTGATATTTCTTTTCACATACACATGGAGGCAGTCTGCAACTGATAAGGCACGGACAGAAGCAGAGGATGTAGAATTTTTGCATTAGTTGCTCCCACTTTAAAGGCTTGATTGACCTTCATTGCTGCAGAACAGCTTGAAAATAATAACCTGTTTTGAATTTCCAGTCTTGTGTTATTCTGAAATCGACATTGTCTTTCAGTTTTTGGTCATCATGCCCTTTTTTTTTAATCTAGTTCTAGTTCTGAGATGGTTCAGTGTACCCCAACCAGTTGTTTCAACCTGTGAGAAAAAAGACTCAATTAAATTTTTCTGCTTCCAGAATGATAAAACTCTATAGCAGGCCAAGTGACCATCCATACTCGGGTGACTACTTGTGCAACAACCATTTCGTAGGAGGCTCCCTCAAATAAAAGCCTTAGATATCGCATTTAATTGGTTGCATGCCGAAACCTTAGGAGCTTTTACTAGGAGATGTCCTGACTTTTTTTATCGATAAAAGACAGGCAAATGAAAAGGAGGAAGACACTAAAGTGAATGGAACATTTGTTTTAACACAGCTGAATCAAATAATCAGGAGAACCTTAATCTGGAGAAGCTACATTTAACAAAGGAGGTAATTAAGGCCTTTGCGTTGGACCAGAGAGATATCCAAAATACCTGCACGATACTGGCCCTCGAGGACTTGAGTTTGACATCCCTGCTCTAGCAGTTGGTGTATCTGTTAATTTGTAAGTTTTCTTGGGGCCTCCAATCTGGCAGAGGCCCCAAAGCAGTTTGCTTTTACTTAAGCCAATATGTATATATATATATATATATATATATATATATATATATATATATATATATATATATATATATATATATATATATATATATATATATATATATATATATATATATATATATATATATATATATATAAAGTATTACTAATAATGGCAGCCACTGAGATGTCTACAAAGTTACATTAGTTTTTATTTTCTTTTTCTGTATTTGTAAATATTCCAAAAGTATAAAGAAAAACTCAATACCGAGATTCAAATAATGTGAAAAATCAAACCTTTGTATTATTATTATTATGTCCTTCATCTCAGCAATCTTTTAAGCTGTGCATTTTATAAGCCTTTATTCATGAGTATTTTTTACACTGAACCGAAACTGCTGTATGAGAAAGTCAGTGGGTGTTAGGTGTTAGTGCATCTGGTTGCATCGAAGTGACAGCTTTATTTAAGTGATTTGAAATGCCTCCCTGAACCACAACGGTTTCACAACAGAAGATGTTATTGTGGTTAAAGTTAAAAAATGGGGTCCATTTCACAATGCAGATTTAACAAACTCAAATTCTCAAATTACTTATTTTAATTCCTTACTCAAATCCTTACTGTAAATTGATCTAGCCTTAGGATGGAAACTGAGTTTTCAGCTTCATAAAAGCTTCTGTGGGTTAATCAACTCTAAATAGGTCCACTCTGGGTGGAAAACATGCGTCAGCCATTGTCAGTGGAGCTCGACGAGTCGCCGTGAAAACAAACCTAATGTGTCTAATACACCCAGTGAATGTTTTTTTTTTTTTGTAGAAACAATACTACGACAAAAATTTCCTGTCTAAATTATGAAATAAAACAGTGTGATTGGGTCTAAGGAGAGCAAAGACAAAGGAAACTCAGGGCCGGATCTATCAAAGGTTTGCGTGTATAAAAAACGTGAGCTATTTCACTGCGCACGCTAAAAAATGTACAAACTGATCTATCAACAGCGTGCTAAAAGGATTTGGTCTTTAAAACGTGCTAAATAGCGCCTCTTATCCATTTAGTACTTTTTCTGCAATGAATATGCAATATGGGGCGTTTACACGCAAAAATGCGTCTTGTGGGAGGATAACATGTAAATATATTAATTTAGCACTCGCAAAGTGATTTATCAAACCTGAAAGCAATTTTGCTAACGGTATCTGACTCTATATTTAACATGTTTCAAAAGAAGGTGCAAATGGTCTGTATGCGTAATTGCGCACACATGGCAGCGGTTATTGTCGCAAGAAGGAGACATGGAAATGAAGCAAGGAGATGCAGAGAACGCAATTTTTCAGTTGGGGGAACTCCGAATGGATTTGGAGCCAGCCACAAGGAGGACCCACGCAATACCAGATATCACAGAACTCCTTGCAACATTGCACTTTTTTGCATCTGGGATTTGGGATCTCCCAATCTCGTTTTCCAGAAGTGCTGTCCGACGTTCTAAATGCCATGTCGCCCTGACGCCCTAACGGAGAAACCAGACCTCCCCCTGCGCCTGTGGAGCAACATGCCAATGTTGCTCCACAGGCTCCACAATCTCATCCAGAGTCACTTCTTGTGAGCCATTTGGTATGTGCAAATCACTTCACGCAAAATTGAATCTTGATAAATCCGGCCCCTTAGAGTTTACTGAAGAAAACCTGCCCCCAACCAGGTTAGCTCTTGGGAGAATGCTACCAATGGTAACAGAAATACTGTAGAGGTTGAATAAACTCTCTTTGTGAAACAGAAAACTCAGATTCCCCCTGATTTCAGGGTTAGAAAACCTCTTTTCAATAAACTTGCTTTATGAAATGGACCCCAGCAAAACATATTAATAACTCTAACTGAAGTAGAGGTTACATTTATTTAACCAAACCCTAGTTTTCTTTGCTCTATTTATAAAAGGATTTAGTGACTCACATGAAAAAAAGAACAACTGGATTGTAAACTAAGTACACCCCACTAAAAAGTCCATAACTGAGATTAAAAATATCACCCTAGTTAAAAACACCAATGATGAGAAACTCTGCTCTTTGCTTCCTGTCATTGTTTAATTTTTAAATAAATAAAGTAATTTCCTCAAACCTAAAAGGATTGCCAATTGTTTTATAGTATTTTTTTTACATTCCACCCACTTGCCCTGCAAAGTAGAATTAGAATTACAAGTTAAATTCTGCAAATTATAAACTTTGCACTACCCTTAAAGGTCATCAGTCATGTTTTTTTGGGCAGTCATCCTAAAGCCTCGATGAGTAATTTTTGCAGCTGAAATACTGCCACATGTAGACAGTGACTTTTGGAACTTTGCAGACAGAATGCAATGCATACTTTATTCACACTCAGGAGCTGAGAATTTGCATGATACCAGAAACCTTTGTAAGAAAAAATATATGTGAAAGAATTACAAGCTTAAAAAAACAGTTTGCTCGTCTTACGAAGCACCATTATCCTTGTCATTGCATGCAAAATTCTGTCATGCAGCAACTATTGTATGTGTGAGACTGGCTTTGAAAACAGTTACCTTCCTGTTTTTCAAACCAACTTATTTCAATATATGCATTTATTGAAAGAAAGAACAACAATATACCCTTCAATAAAAATGGAAGCATCCTTGTCATTCCAAAGTATGCAACCACAGATACAGATCCTTTCAGTGTATTAATCCAATATTAATATATTTACAAAAAATGTTGCTCTTAAATAAATTGTGATTAGCATAGCATTGAATGTATTAACATATGTGTGTATAAAAATGAAATACTGAAGTTGTTCCACAATAAAAGACAACAACAGAAAAGTTTGATAGTATATCAAGTTCAACACAGCAGTGGCTGACAGATACTCCCTTGTTGATCCACCACTTTTGTTACTTTCCACTTTTTGACACCACCTGTACTGCTTTGATCCATTCCTTTCTCTCTTCAGCTGTTGCAGCTTGCAGGAAATAGTGAGTCTCATCTGAGGTGATGATCTCAAAAAGGTTGCCATCAATGTCATATTTTTTGGCTGAAACAGAAATTAAATAAACAAAGAGGAGTTTGATGTGCTTATTGTCGAAGAAACTATATTGATAGTACATCAGAGTTAAATTTTTTGTCTCATTGGGGAAGAGATATGAGCATCATATCTGAAAAAAAAAAACATCGCTCACCATCAGGCACATACTCAACAGCTGTAACCACAGCACCTCTGAGATGTATTGAGCCCAGGGGGTCATCTCCCTGACAGTTAGAAAGATTAAAAGGGTTACATATTTGATCAAAAGTGTAAGTTCCTACAGCATTGGTGAAATCAGTATATTTACCTTTGAAGGATCATAATAGTGCATATAAGCAGGGTCATCTCGAAGTATAAACTTCCGTACCTTCCAGTTTTTTCTTCTGTGTCCCTGTGAGAAAATAACTTTTCATCAGGTATAATAACGCTCATTACAAATTACATCTAAGCTTATAGCTCTGATAATCTGAATGCTAAACTACAGTACGTTTCTTTTTCAGTAACTGCTGTTTTTTTTTTCCATGTTTGCAATGTTCATGAAAAGTGTTTGCTAGTGAGAGAATGTTAAACATTGGCTATAAGGTTTGCTTTTATGGTTTACCTGTTTGAGCAAGCAGCCTTGTTTTACAATATTTCCCCTGAATTCTTCCTTCAGAAGAACATCTTCATCGCTGGAGTAGCCCTCACAAAAGAATCCACTATCGGCCTGAAAGCACAAAGATGCACATAAATATGATCTACAATAGCAGTGGTCCTTGGCAAAACCGATTATATCCCTTTAATCATTTCACATTTTGGAAAGTCATAGCAAAAAATGTAAATAGGTCTTATCGGGGCTCAGTGTGTAAGACTGATTGTTAATCAGTAAAATTGCAAGGTATAGAAAGTCTGACATCATCAGTTTTCAAGTCTAACCTCTACAGTAACTGACCTTATTTTAAGGGTTATTTTTCAGTAAAGTTCACCTCAGTTTCAGCTCTTTATCATGTAGAACACTTTGCATTGTCTTTGTACTAAATTCTGCTATACAATTACATTTGCCTTGCCTTGCCTTTATCAGTCTCTAAATTTTATTATCAGGGTTGTCCTTTAAATGGCTAATTCCATACTCCCATCGTCTTTGACCAGTTTCCCCTGCCCACGCTTATAAAGCACAACCATATAGGATGATGCATTACCTTTTATGGTGTTGTGTTAGTATGATGAGTAGCGACAGGACAGATCTGTATAAAAACATTATTCTGCCTGGTGAAAATGTTATCATTTGACTAAAGCAGCTACTTTAATAGAGTATATTTGCTGTTTCCTCTACATGACATTTGACGTTCTTTCCATAGGAATATTACAGTCACCCTTGCAAAAAAAAAGCCATATTTGCCCTGTCGTCAGGTTCTTCCACCTAAGTTTTCCACTCTCTAGAGTAACCAATGCCTCTTGGCTTCTCTGAATATTGCTGTCTTTGCCTGGCCATCACTTTAGGTGGGTGGTCAGTTCTTGGTGGCTCGTGGTGTCATATTCCTTCCATTATCAGAAGATAAATTGAGCATTGGACCATGCATGAGGTGTTAAAAGCTTCGACATTTAAGACATAGTGTTGCGTTAAACATCTCCTTTGAACAACTTTCCTGAGAATTTTGTGTTTGTTAGTCTTTGTGTTTCTGTTTGTTCAGTATTTTTCACTAATAAACCTACAAGGCAGCCACAGGACAGCTATATTTATGCTAAGATTAAAATAAAAACACAGCTGAACTCTTTTTGCTAATTGTGGGAACATCTAAAGACAGCTGTTTGCTCTTGAGTTTATTTTATTTGCTTTTAAACTAAGAGGTGCTAAATATAAACACATACCTTTGTTTTTATAAGATATAATAATATATTATGATATTTTTGGCAAGGTAATTTAGAAAACAATTTTATTCATCTTGTATATACCCTGTTTTGAGCTTATCAATCAAGAATTGCACATAATACCATACTCTACAATGGGTGAATACTTTTCAACCAATTTTGTTTAAAGAAAGAAACATTTCTCCTGGGTACATTTTTAAGTTGAACTCACAAAGTAGTACAGAGCTTTTGTCTGATCTAAGAAGGTTGTTTGCTCTCCACCCTCTGCTCCCTCTTTTGACAGGTCATCCGCAGGCTGAAGAAAGCCTTCATTTAGAAGCCCCGCTGCTAACATGAGTGCTTCAGAGCTATTTCTCGCCTTCCCTTTCGAAATCAGCCACTCTACCACTGTCGCACCTGTGCAAAAAATGCAGAAGTGGTGGAAAAAGATTAAGCACATTTGAAGGTTAAGAACAGAAAGAAACCTTACTCCACACCTGTAGTAACTTCCATAAATCTTAGACTGCAATACCCGTGAAGCAGTGGTTGAAAATCCGATTATCTTGTTCGAGTTTTAGTTCCTTCACTCCCTCGTCCTGGTCTTTCATCAGCATGTACAGCTCACTGAGAAAAAACAATGTAACCACAATTCAAATTTCTTGTTCTTCTGTCTCTAACCAAAAGCAATTCACAGCTCACCAAACCTTGAATTTAAATATCCATAATCTAAAAGTATTAAGCATTAACTAATTAAGCAGTCTCACTAAACTAGTGAGGCTGCAAACATTTTGCATGCATGATATTTATAGAGATCAAATGAGGTTCTAACACTGCCTTGAAAAGGTGTTAATATCCCATTAATTTTTATAACACCTTTTGTTATGCTCAGTTACATACTTAAATTCATTACTTGTAGATATTTTTATAGTAAACCAACACAAATCAGTGCACAAAGAAAATACATTATATATTCATATATATATATATATATATATATATATATATATATATATATATATATATATATATATATATATATATATATATATATATATATATATTTTTTTTTTTTTTTTTTTTTACAAATAAAACTCTGAAAAGTGTGGGGTATATATTTTACTAGCACTACCTTGGGAAATACCTTGTATTACCACAGCACTGCAAATATTTTCAAATATGTCTAGAAACAGACAAAATTGGCTTAGAATAGCTCTAGCTCACTTAGATAGGGTGGAAGGTGTTGGGGCCTATGCTGTGGGATAAGCCATAGCACTGAGACCCCTACCATATTCTAATGGATTTTTTTCCCTTTCTATAAGGTGAACTTTCTTTCAACTTTTAAGAGCTATTCAGTCTATAATAGATTCTCTTCCAGGATTACCCTAAGTGGAGAGAAATGAAAGTAACCTTCTGGTCAAGTTTCATTTCACCTCTCATACAAGAGGCAATCTCAGTTTTGAACATGGGTCTGGGTATCCGGCTTTAACTTGTAGGCAGAACCACAAAGCCTGTTGGCGTCACAGCCCTACAGTTCAGTCGGTTTAATGTTAGACTTTTATTGCTTTAGGGTTTAAACGTGTTATAAAAGGATGCCACCGTATTAGTTCTTTAGCCACTTTGTCTTAAAGAGTGAAAAGCTCTGATACAAATATCCAAACTGGATGGTATGTCATGTTTCAAATTAAGGTTGGTGTGTTCAGGGGGATGGAAAATACCATTTTAAGGTTTGCTGTGTCCTCTGCATGACCTGTGACAAACTACCAAGATGGACATTTTACTAACTTTCTTTTAAAAAAGGGGTTCTTTCTGGCAGATTTGTGGATTGACATCTAAAAGCTGTCCTTTTAACAGATTATCTATCTACAGTACAGACCTTCTTCGGGAATACAGTGAGGCCCTTTGCTTCTTGTGAGTAAATTAGGCAAATGCATGGAATACTTACCAGATTTGTATTTGACTTTGATAAATAACCTTGTGCACTTTTACTTTCACTCCTATTAATGCTCGTCTTTGTTTTAGATTACCATATATAATCCCAAACAAAATCATTAAAATTTATGATTAGAACATATAAAATTTTTCTGTAAATGTTTTGATTGATACAAAATAATATGAGATCAATTTTACTTACGCAAGGTTGACTTTGTCTGGTAGGCGAATGGAACGCCTGGTAGACTTCCTGGCAAACTTTTTGCCATCTTTCAAACAGGTTATGGATCTCTTGATGTCTTTGACCCAAAGTTCTCTCTCCTCCACATGTGAAGCTTGAAAGAAGTGATCTTGTTTCTTCTCTGTAGTAATCTTGAAAACCAGCTAAATCATGCAAGTTGAGTTAGTGTTATTTTCATGTTTTAGGGTTATTTTAATGAATAGAGGAAATCAACTAAACTACTTTTCTCTTTGTAACCAAATCTTAACATTTTCAGTTTTTATTTTCTAAGCTGTTAAACTGTGATAATAATAATAATAATATTATTATTATCATTAATAATAACTGTATCTATCCTACAGTGCTTATAGAAATGCTGATGGTTGCAAATACATTTTTTTTTACCATTCTCTTGTTAAAATCCTGACAGGGGCTGACGAGTGTTGCTCCTTTCAGTGGGATCATCCCTTTCGGTGAACGATCTGTTTTCTTTTTATAGTAATCCAAACCATCTTCTGACAGCACCACCCACACTGCACTCCAGGAGTTCAGCACTGTACCCTGAGGATCATTAATACAAAAGACAGTTTTGAGCAAAAGTACAAAAGCTCTAACTCTGTATGTACTGTTGTAGTGCATTGTATGTTAAATAAATGTCTTAATGTCTATTTTAGGATAACTTTCTGTCACTCTGGATCTTGCTTGCAATTCTTCAGATCAATTCACAAAGGTTTGTGTATCATATTTTTTGCAACAATTATTTACTATTGCAATAGAGTGCAAAAACGTAACTGACATTGCAAAGCTAACATAAAACTAACATTCAAGACAAATCTTTAAAGACTTTTCATAGGATACAACAAGGACTTCTTTGAATAAACGGCTTAATTGACCTCTAAAGACAAGGGAGATTTATCTGTACAGCATGCTCAGTTACAAGTAAAAAGTTGAGGTCAAACAAAATGCTTCTGAACATTTATTTAGTTATTTTGTTTCATTTTAGCTTCTTTTTTTTGTCTTTGTTTTGTTTTTTTGGAGGCTTCAAAGGTATTCAGGTCCAGAAAACAGAATTAAAAATGTCTTTGTTAAAAAAGAGGTCATATATGCTGTAGATTCAGGAGAAAGGATGAAACATTCAGCAGCTCTTCAAAGTGAGCAAGCAGAGAATCTTGGCCTATCACCATTCTTACTTCTTTATTACAGCTTGGATTCTTCTCTTTTCCCTTTACACATATAGCACAAATGTAAATGTTAGATTATGTCTGACAGATTCTATTGTTTTCTTCCAAGACAGTACAATGTTTAAAGATATCCGATACAAGTTTTCATCTAAAAAAAAAGAAGTTGGCTGGAAGCAAACCTAAAATGTATTTGTAAAAGTGTAATTTGTGAAAGTGTTGTATTATTGATGTATCTGTTGTGTTATTCATTTTTTGAAAAAGTCCTAGTAGAAACAGAAAAAACCCCAGAGAAAATAAGTATATTTTTACATCTTTGTCATAGCTGTAGCTCCATAAGTGTAGTTGTGTATAAGATGTGATTGCTAGTTGAAGGTCGAAGACAGAACTTACATACATTTTTCCAGCAAAGCTTCTCAGCATAATTACACAGTGATACTAATTTATGAATACATGGTGATTCAGTTATTCAGCACTGCTGCCTTGCAACAAGAAGCTTTAAGGTTCAAACTCTAGATAAGAGCTTGTGTGAATGTAGTTTTCAGAAATCAATTGAACTGGACACAGTTCTTTGGTATTCTCATGGACTCCAAAGACATGCATGCTAGGTTAGACCGCTATAAATTTGAAACAAGGTGGGAGTCCATGGTTCTCTGCCCAAGTGTTGCCCTGGGATGGAGTGTAAATCTGGGACCTACCTCTGAACTGCTGGAGATATGCATCAGCTCAACACATATCACATTGAGTAAGTAGATATAGAGGATAGATGGAATAATGTTACTTTTTGTGGTGTCTGAGGAAAGTTAGAGCATTTTACTTGTTTGAAAAACGTGTAATGACCTGTATGAAAACTGTTCTGCATAGAGGGTAAAAAAAATATATCCTTTTAAAATTTGTCTAATCCACCTGTTTTTTTTTTATTTTGAAAAAAAAAACAGCACTTAATTCATTTAATTGTAGGAGAGAACTGAAACAGAAATAATATTATAATATCTAAATCATCTAAACTTTAAATAACATCCAAATGAGGTGCAACAAATGAAAGAAAGATATGCCAAAGCAAACATTTTACTTTCTACTATAAGCAAGAACTGGGTTTCTGTTTCACCTTCCGAACAGAAGTGGATATTTCTGTGTTGTGCTGCAACTCCGTAACATCTGTTCCTCAATTGAAATGTTTTCCTAACTTAGTGAAGTTAGAACATTTAGTATGTCCAGTGTTATAAAATACTTATCTTCAAATGTCTATATTCTTGGTATAGCAGATTTTTTTTTTGTGATTTTTTTTTCAGAACGACAGTTGTAATATCTAAATGTGAAACTATATTGTAGTGTGTTAGGCTTAAGACCATGACTCTCTAAAACAACAAAACCCGTTAGCCGTGTAGCTTCAAGGGTAATTATTAAATTTCATGAGGCAAAATTGGATGTTTCTAAAAAGTGTCATCAGTACAGTACTGTCAGGTGAAGAATAAATATTTTAAAACCTTGATGTTGCCTGAGTAGAACAACAAATTAGGAAGGAAAGTGTATTTTTACTGCTATTCTTACCTTTTTAACAAGATATCCTTCTCTGATCTCTTGTGGCTCCATTATTGGGCTCTCCACTGCTCTGTTCTGTAGCTCCTCACTTTTTTTTGGTGACTGTCAAAAGCGTTTGACATCAATTTAACCAACTCACTCCCCACACTCCTCCCCCTCTCTTTCTCTTTTTTGCCCTGTCTCTGTGGGCGTATGTGTGTGTGCTCATTGTTGCATGTCAGTGAAAATGTATTTTCCGTATTTAACCAGTGATGTGAGAACTTAAGTGTGAAGTTAAGACCGTTTTACATCACCACCCTTTTTTACTAGGGGTTAGGTTTAAGGTTAGGTTGTTGTTATTTTTAGGCATGTACCTGTAATGCTCAGGTTTAGGGTTATTGTCAGGGTTAAGACGTAGAAAAGGTTTAAAATAAACGGAAGTTAATACAAGGTCCTCAGTAAGTCTGTAAAACAAACATGTTTGTGTCTGGGTGTGTTTCTGCATAAAACACCAAGACTGAAACACAGAAACGGGAAATGTGAACGTTGGGTGTGATAATGGTGATTGGTCAACCAGCTTCCTGTTGTCTAATATGCTATTTATAGCTGGAGATTGCTGGGTGTCTGTGAGTTTTTTTCTGTTTAAATTTAATTATGTAGCTCAAACTTTCAGCAGTATTTTATTATTATTATTATTATTATTATTATTATTATTATTATTAATATTATTATTATTATTATTATTATTATTATTACAGCAGTCAGAGTAAAACTAGAAAAAATGTCCCAAAATGAAAAAAATGCATTCATCTAATATCTGCCACTGCAGCCACATTCCTATCTTAATTAATTGTATAGGACTTTAATAACACCTTTAAGATCACATTTCTTTATTGTCTTAGTTCTCTCTTTATTCAGTTTTTAGGTATTATATAGACAGTACAGTGTCAAAGTGTCCTTCCTCTTTGTTTATTCACATTATAAATTAAATTCAGAGGAATCAAAGGCATAGCAAATACATTTCTGAGCTAGTCAGCATCACACTTTAAGAATAAAAAGAAATGAATAACTTCAAAAAGCAAAATTAAAATCTAAAAGAGTGTGACTGTTTAAATTTAGCTACATGTGGGTGCACCCCCAACAACTGCCCTGAGTCAGACGCTGTATTTCTGGAAGTTCCTCTTTTCTAATTGTGTTGCCATTGCAGTTAAACGCTGTACTAAGTGGAGCATCATATTTGTGGAATATATTTATCATGAGGAAGCAGTTGCTGTCCAAAGCTTCCTTTTACAGCATGCGGGAAAGCTGTCATAAGTCTGATGTATGTTGCTTTTATCATGGTCAGCAACTGGTTCATTTAAGGACTCAAACGTCCGGTAATGATTAATAAAGAAGGATTTCTTTATTCCAAAATGTTTAATACCTTACTGCTTCTTTTTGGGCCTCAATTTAGAATAATTTTACTTTTGGGTGTTGCTATTATACCTGTAGAGGGCACTGTTAGTGCATTCAAATCAAATTAAAGTGGTTATCAGATATATACTCTATGTGTGTCTAAGTGTAAAACAGCAGGTTTATTAATTTATTTAAAAATATAAATCTTAGAGATTTATAGAGCTCTACATTAAACTAAATATTTTTGTTGATTCAGATGATTATCACTTACATTGAAACTAAGCCACAAAAAGGCATACTGATAATGAAGTCAACTCTTACATATGAAAGGCAAGTAAAATGGCATCAAAATGTGTGGTAGCAAAAGGTGAACAAAGAACTGGTTCAATTAGCTTTGAAATGATGATCTTAAAGGAACGATAAACATCCTGGAGAGACACTGTTTGATTGTGGAATGTATCTAAAGAGAAATCCATCAAACTTTTGTCATTTTTACACTCTTTGCTTTTTTTTTATTTCATTAATAAACCTTAGAGTAGATCAGTATTTCTTTAAGTTTCTTCATATGGAGTTTTTTTTTTTTTTTTGCTCAGGTTTAATTCAAGAGAGGGAAAACCTAAAAACAATTGACAACTGGCCGTCTCGGTTTGAGACAGTAAAAGGTGAAACACACACAAGCAAGATAAAAAAAAAAAAGATGTAATACTTCTTCTAAGTCCATCACAACCTCAGGATAGTTAGATGGGGAGGAGCCAGTACCACTAGAAGGGGAAACATAAGGTACTGTAAGTATGATGAAACTGAGGAAACAAAGCTACTGCTGCCTTGAAATAGTTCTATTATTTCTGCCTCGCTCCAGCAAAAATAAATTTTTCGGTCATTTTGCAACTCCAAGTAGAATGTAAAACTATATGTATATATATATATATATATATATATATATATATATATATATATATATATATATATATATATATATATATATATATATATATATATATATATATATATATATATATGGATGCTGGTGGATCACAGCTGTGGCACATAAGTGTAACAAAAGTTTATGTTAAAAACAGAGCTATTTTTTGTCAAAAAAATATAAAAAATATGACATTTCAGCGATATTTAAATACGATTAAGTGTTCATACCCACTAAACTTTTTTCATAATTGACATGTTAGAAACCCAATGTTCAAGTATGTTGTTTTTTGTTTTGTTTTTTACATGACATGCTGGCAATTTGAATTAAGTTTATTTATATAATGCCATTTCAGAACCCATGTTACTCAAGCCGATTTACAAAGAATATTCAACCAGATAATACAGCCAGATTGAATTAAAAAAAATTATCTGAGGAAAAGCAGCTGAATGCATTGAATTATTGACTTGACAGCAATCCCTCTCAAACTCCAAAAGAAACCTTCAGCAGAACCGGGCTCACTATGAGCGTCCATCTGTTGTGACCGACTGGGGTTTAAGGAGACAGAAGTGGACAAAGAAAAGGAAGAGCTACAAAAGGTAACTGTGGTCTTGTTCAGGAAAGACACAGCCAGGCTGAAGAGCTCTGAGCCATTTTATCCATGTAAGAGGGTGAAGAGAGTACATACTGTTAGTCAGAGTAAGAGAAACAGGACTACACTGAAAAACAGGCCAAACCCCAACAATTATACATAATGGTGTTGACAGCAGCAGAGCAGCTGATATTGCTCTCCAGGATGGAGTCACAACCAAAAAAGGAATAGACCAGATGAAGCTATTATGATGAGAAAAAGCAGAGAGAGCAAATCATTAGAGGTCATAGTACTAACTAATACTACAGAATGGGAAAAATAGATAGTATGAAGCAGATGATGTAGTGAGAGGCCTGATCACTAAAGAATCTGCCACTAGGAACAACAAGCAAACCTGTAGATTGAGAGTGAAGTGTTCTGTTAGGAACAATCAGGTCCCTGATATAAGACAAGAGTTTGGCCATTTTGGGTTTTAAATGTAAAAAAATAGGGTTTTATGATAATTAAAACTTTGCCTTTTCTTATTAAAAAAATAACTAATTGCCAAATTAGCTCTTGCCAAAAAAGGGATAGAGAGCATGCATAAACATCAGTGTTCTTCAACAATCATTGCATATTCTTGACAGGACTATTTTTAAATAAAAATAATTTGTTTTGGCTCTTTTTATATGTTTAGGTCGATAATTATGCTAGAACATAGTCATACGTTTTTTTCCATATTCTTAAAGTTTTTGTTTGTTTTTTTTCATTACTCCTCCAAATTCAGCTCCATCATCTCTAAACAGCTTCCACAAACCTGCTAAAACATCATTTAATCAAAACCAGAAAGACCTTATTTTCTTGTAGTGCTTTTACACATGCAGGTCATTTGTTTTGGTAATGAGGTGCAACACATAGACTAATAGATATACTGAAAACAAAAATAAATAAGGGAATTTAAGGAATTAAAATAAACAAATGCACTATTTATGTAGTTATTAAACTACAAGAACTAAATCTTGAATGTAACATTTCTGAAAATGTCAGTGTTGCCATTGTTGAATCAGAATGACTGGATCCACATATTTCCTTTTGTGGCTTTGGTAGGTAAACAGAATCTTTTTCAATTGTTTGCTTTGAACAGCTGATTTCTTCCAGTCAATTCTCATAAAGACCAAATGTGCAAAGGTGGCAATAAGAAGTTATGACATCTGATTTCCTTACCTTAGCCATATATCTTTTAAGCTCCTTGAAGATTTGATTTTCATATGATTGATGGAACGGAGCTCTGTGAGATGTCCAAACCTTGCACTATTATTCTATTGCTATACTTCCATTAAAACCTCTCCCCACCTTTTTCCCTGTTTACTGTGTTCCTTTTCTTTATATGCTCTTTGTTCTCTTATGTTCTTGAACAAATCGTAGGAATTTACAAAACAGAGAAACAGCTTTTGAAGAGGAATTTGGACTCGATTTGATAGTTAAGTTAATCCTGACATATTTGATTGCACTGGATTTTATTAAGAGGAACCAGAGTAAAGAAGCCAGAATGATTTTATCATTTCTAACAGCAATGATAAAATCATAAAATATAATTTTACTGCCACTTTAGTTATGCATTGTGTTGATCTACTACACATTGAGAAAAAAAGGTAAGACAGCTGTAGTGGTACTTATATCATTGGGGGATCTGTATATTTATAATTGCATGGACTATAATTATATCATTGGGGGATCTGTATATTTATAATTGCATGGACTATAATTATCTCCATTCACTAGTTTTTTTCAAACAAGGAGGGATGGCTTTTCTATGAAATACCTATTTTACAATGTCTTTTTTTATTTACGTCATACACAGTCCTAAACATATGTGTTATCTTTCTATCAGCTTGCCCAGCTGTCCCCATAGCTCTTGCTTTGCAGCCCAGGGATTGAGACATCTTCATCTCGGTCCTTTGTATCTCACAGGCACTATCAATTATTCGGCTAAAGAGTGCACTGAGCTGAAAATGGGAGGGATGGGTGTGGTGGTGCCAGTTGATGGCTTTTCCCAAGGACACTCAATCTCTCTCCACCTCCCTCACTTCACACTGTGCACCTACACTTCCTAACATGACCTTCTGAAATGCTGTTTATCATTTCCATGTTGACAACAGGAGCGTGCAAGCACAAGGCTTTTAGCCCCTTTAATAAAGGAGAAGCAATCACTACAAGCGTCTGATGTCGTTAATAAGCAAACATTTCCAGATGTGTTTATTGGGGAAATGGCTATCAGT